TTTCCATATTCTAGTATCCTGAGGCAATGCCCTCATCCATTGTTGGAGATGTTGCACATGAACAAGGATGCCAACTACACCCCATAGTCACCGGAGGTGCTACATTGTTGGAGTACTATCGTTGTCATGTCTTGCCAAAGAGATGGGCATGTCTCAAATAGTGACAAGAATGCGAAGAGCTTGACAAGTTAAAATACTACCTCTGTCCCATAAAACTTGACCAACTTCCTTTTTTGCCGTTCTAAAAGACTATCATTTCCATTTGAAGTAACTAATGTGTGGTTAAAGTCTCATCAGAATGAATTTCAACCACACAGTTTTTACTTTATCATTCTACGTTCAACTCAACTTTGATTAAGTTTTATGGGACAGAGTATGTGACAAAAGAAGAAAAATTGATCAAAACAGCCATAGTGAAGATTAGAGGCAATCTAGTGAGCGGGTTGAGAACGACTTGAGTAAGAATCCAACCCTACATACAATGACCAAAAGTCGAGATCAAGTTGTTGACAACAAAAGTATGGATTCAATATATGGACTTAAAAAGCTTGGCAAAAAATTCAAGTGAAAGTGTCGAGAACAACCAAAGTTGTCACACTTGTTTGCCGAAAATGTAAAGACTTGCAGTGGTCCTATATAAAATGAAAATATCATCATCATCACCCCAGTGCCGCAAAGGCTCCCCACCTACAGTGGGATGAGGGGAGTCGGATGTATGCAACCTTACTTATGTATTAAAGCACAAAGAGACTGTTTCCAGATGACTCATGGTATATAAAATGAAAAGATATATCAATAAAATAACTAAGCTTCCATTCCAATTTTGGCGAAGTCGTGGCAAGAAGCTTAACGAGAGTGGTGGCTCGAAACAAGTAAGGACGTGTTTAATGGACTAAATTTGGTTGGATTAGTTTCATCTTATTTCAACTCTAGTATAATATGTAAAAAAAAATTGTAAATTTCATTATTATCTCTTGCTAGATGGTCTATTAAAATTTGTCTAATTTGGTATGTTTAAGTTTAGCTTTTCCTATAGTTTGATCTGGTCTATGACTAAAATATTTCTAAGAGAACAAGTCCTGAATTACAAAATGACATTTTGCACTTCGTAGATTTCTTCTGACCTTGGTAACATAGTCAATTAAATACAATGCGGAAAGTGAGGAGAAGAGATGAAGGTTATAAAGTAGTTGTGAAAAAAGACAAGAGACGAGGAAGAAGGTGGGAGAAGTGCGAATAAGAAGGAAGATGCATTCACTCATATCTTCGAGATTTTATGCATTCATAACTGGTAGGATTTGATTTGCAAAATTTCCTGTTTTGGTTGTTCCTAAATAATTTTTCACTTTCCATTTGATTTGCCAAACTTTATTTATTACCTTCTTTAATTCTTGTTTCAGTCAATTTTTGCAAATCAAATTGGGACGGAGAGAGTATAATATTTTCAACTCCTTGCTATACAGGTTCCAGTTTAGACCGTGGAAATTGATTGATGTGTTTCAATCAGGCTCCGAGTAAAAAGCGATTGTTCTCGATTTGGCCTGAGATTGAGAGTCGACGTTGTCTTAATTAAAGGAACTGAAACTAGTTTGGATCAGTACAACAACAACAACATCCAAGCCTTAGTCCCAAAAGATATTGGGGTTGGCTAACATGAATCGATACATGATATCACCAAATCACCAAAAGGAAAAAAAATAAAGATAAAAGGTAAGCTATTATAAAAAGATACTCCCTCCGTCCCCCTTATATTGTCCCGTTTTACCTTTTCGTGAAGTCCCACTAATATTGTCCATGATAAAGTTTGTGCGGCTCAAAATCATTCTTACTTGGAAAACTCCTACTTGCTACAATGATTGGGGGGTTTGTGTGCAAGAACAATAACCACTCCAACAAGGAAGCACAAATTCATGTATCTATCAGAGCTATAGATGCTTTGATTGTATATGTTGAAAATCCAATACCGCCTTTGGGACAGATAGGGGATGAAATGGCCATTATATATTTTAACAGAAAAGGATGGCATTGTATGCATGAGTCCTCCAGAACCAATCAAATGGAGAATGTAAGTTGAGCTTTGATCGTACTTTAATATAAAGAAAATGTTACATCTCAACTCATTGCTTGAAGTTAAATTCAGGATCTCTCTTTTGTGACACATCCATCCTACCAGGTGAGCTACGCCCCCCAGTTTGTTAAATTTTAACAATGTCATGTTGCAAGTTGGAAAAAAGACGTATAAGTTTCTTCCTTCAAATCTACCCTTATATCGTTTGTCCATCATTAACGTTTTGGAATTTCACAATTGGGCCACTATGTTTTTAATCTTCTAAAAACATAGTCAATTATGTCAATGCAATTATGTCAATATAGGATATCATTTTTAATCCCATCTCTAATTGGAAAACCCATAATTGCTTCAATGATTAGAGGTTTTAGTCATCACTGATTAAACCTATTCAACATTGATAACTTTTGTCGTGCGAGAATAGCAATTACTCCGATAAAGTTACACAATTCATGTTTCAATTGGAGTTCTATATTCTCTGGATTGCATATGTTTTAATCTTGCCCGTCATTGAAAATCCAAGTTCACCGTTTGGAACAAGTAGGGGGTGAAATGGCCATTGTTAGTGTGCGAGAATAGCAATTACTCCGATAAAGTAACACAATTTCATGTTTCAATCAGAGTTCTATATTCTCTAGATTGCATATGTTTTAATCTTGCCCGTCATTGAAAATCGAAGTTCACCATTTGGAAAAAGTAAGGGGTGAAATGGCCATTGTTAGTGAATAATGGCATGCATGTGCGGAAAACTCTTAATTGCTTCAATGATTTGAGTGTTAAGTCAATCCCTATAAACTTCTTCGACATTGATAGCTGTGTGTAGTTGTGCAAGAATGCGACTCTGATAAGACACAAATTCATGTATCTATCAGAGCTCTAAATTCTCTAAACTACCTATGTTTTAATTTTGCCCCTCGTTTAAAATCGAGGTTGGCCACTTGGAGCACGTAGGGTCTGAAATGACAATTGTTAAATTTTTGCGAACAATGTTATGCATTATGCATGAAAATGTTATGACAACCCCTTAATTGCTTCAATGATTAAAGGGTTTACTCAATCCCGATTAAACTTTTTCGGCATTGATAACTTTGGGTTGTGCGAGAATAGCAGTTACTCCGATAAGGTAACACACATTCATGTATCTATCAGAGCTCTAGATTCTTTGGACTGCACATGTTTTAATATTGTCCCTCGTTAAAAATCCAGGTTTGCTGCTTGGATCAAATAGGGGGTGAAATGGCCATTGTCAAATTTTAGTGAATAATGTCATGCATGTGTCAAGAGATAGTTTGGGAAAAAGTTGGATAAGCTTTTTCCTTTAAATTTATACGTATATCATTCACCAATCATTATGCTAATAAGGTAAACACGTTTTGGAATTTCATAATTAGAGTAATTACTATCATGCTTGAAAAATACTATGCATGAAAAATACTACTACCATATGTGAATATAGTAATCACAAAATACAATCATAAATATCTTTTATGGCTGCTTACCATGATAGAGGTATGCGTATGAATAGGGAGCCCCCCCCACCCCCAACTTTTTTTAATTTTTGTTGTAGTAATATTGGTTGGATATGAAATAATCAGAGAAGATTGAGTCATAACTATCTAATAGAAGTCTCCATTTAATTATTTTGTGGAAATCAATTAAATAAATTATGAAAAAACACTGTGTTATATATATATATATATATATATATATATATATTTGTTTTCGTATTTAAATTTCAGATTAAATTTCAATTGGGAAGTCAATTTAACTGACTTGCCAATTAACTTTTAAATTGAAAATTAGTGTAAATAACTACACACCATGAAAAATAGGCATTCACAAAGCATCTCAAACATAGTCAGGTAGTTTTTACAAGATCATTCTTCATTAAATATTTTCATATATATGATTAAAAACATGACAAAATATGTTTTACTCCTCAAATAGAACTTAATTACTTTTATTAAGTTTAAAATTTGCCAAAATATTAGTAATAAGTCCTAATTTGAGACTTTTTTTGTTTAGTCCCTGGCTGCGCAGTATGGGAATTTACTAGTAAAGGTAGTTTTTACTAGGGAATTTTACTCCTAGTATGGGAATTTTACATTGTTTTTACTCCCTTCATTGACCTCATAAAAGCTTTGGATTTTAAATTACAAGTAAAAAGTTTAAAGAAGTTAAAAGCTTTGGATTTTAAATTACAAGTAATAAATCACTTTGAAAATTTATTCTTATGAAATTTAACTTTAAATTACTTTTAGGGTAGCTTTGGATTTTAAGTAGCTTTGGATTTTAACTTTAAATCACTTTTAAATTACAAGTAATGATTTTTAGGGTTTAGTGGCTTAAATTTTAAGTCATACTTAATGTAGTAAGACAAAAATATTTAAGGCAAAAAAATAGTTGGACTAATGATTGATGTAGAAAAAGTATAAAAGTCGATTGAAAATATAAATGAAAAGATAAATAAATTAATTGACCAAAAAAAGAGAATGTAGCAAAATTTAAAAACGATATAACAGAGTATAAAAAAGTAGGTCAAAACTCAAAAGTTTTGACATTTCAAATATGACAATGAATAAAAGGCAAAAGAATAATTCCTAAAAAGAAGTATTTTAATCACTTTGACATTTCAAATATGACAATGAATAAAAGGCAAAAGAATAATTCCTAGTATTTGCATCCCAAATTGAATTTTGCAATTTGTGGTTTTTAACTTTGTGAAAGTTAAAATAGTTTTAATAATTAACATTTATATATTCTAAAGAAGTAAAGTAAATGAAGTAAAATTGTGTTGATTAAGATATGGAAACCAGGGCTGAATTAGAACTCTTGATACATAGAAATTTAAGTACAATTATGTTAAATAATAATTCAATGTATTTTAAGTAAAGAATTTATAAATTATTAAATTTGCTACTTGTTTCTTCAGGTTCAGATTAATACACGGAAATTTTTCAAAGGATATACTGATGGGAGAACATATGAAAACTTCTGGCCAGAGATGCTAAAATTGAAGGATTGGCCACCTTCTGACATGTTTGAGGACCTCTTACCACGCCATTGTGATGAGTTTATCAGTGCACTGCCTTTTCAGGAGTACACTGATCCAAGGGCTGGGATCCTCAATCTTGGAGTCAAGTTGCCACCTGGTTTCATTAAACCTGATTTAGGTCCAAAAACTTACATAGCATATGGTGTCGCAGATGAGCTTGGGAGAGGAGACTCTGTAACTAAGCTTCATTGTGACATGTCTGATGCAGTATGGCCTTCTTTACCATATTTTTGGATATTTGTTTGTTATTCTTTTTCCTTTTTATGATAAAAAGAATATCAATATCTTCAGATAAATATTTTGACGCACACAACAGAAGTACCTTCAAGTCAGGAACAAAGATCTGCAATTCAAAAGTTGAAGGAAAGACACAAAGCTCAAGATGAAAGAGAGGGCCTTGTAAAAGGTGATTTTATTTCACTTAGTGATGAATGTCGAAGATCATCATCCTCAAGTCTTTTTGAAATTGAGGAACCTAGAGATGTTGGTGGAAGTGCACTTTGGGATATATTTAGAAGAGAGGATGTACCTAAATTGAATGAGTATCTTGTGAAGCATTCAAAAGAGTTTAGACACACTTATTGTAATTCAGTGGAAAAGGTAAAAAACCAAAAGTGCAAACCTTTCTACCATGAATGCCCACCAATCAAAATTCTTTCTAATATCTTTCTCTCTTACTCCAAACAGGTTTTTCATCCCATTCATGATCAAAGCTTCTATTTAACTTTAGAGCACAAGAGAAAACTAAAGGAAGAATATGGTTTGTAGCATCAGTCCTCTACTCATTGAATTAAAATATTCCTATTTTAATATACATGTTTGTGTAGGAATAGAGGCCTGGACATTTGAACAGAGACTTGGAGAGGCCGTTTTCATCCCTGCAGGTTGTCCTCATCAAGTAAGAAATCTTAAAGTAAGTGCACTTACCCAGTTACGTCCCTGCTCTCTTCTAGTTGATCCAGTTAGCTTTGTATAAATTATGACTGATGATGATTGTGTCTATTTTGTGGCCCAGTCGTGCACAAAAGTTGCAGCGGACTTTATCTCTCCAGAAAACATTGAGGAGTGCATACGACTAACAGAAGAGTTCAGGAAACTGCCAAATAACCACAAAAGCAGAGAAGACAAGCTTGAGGTACCTTACCCATCTTCTACCTCTTCTATCCTAGGAATTGGTTCTGGGGAAAAATGTTCCCTTTTTATTCTTTTTGGAGTATTATCCTTTTACTCCCATTTTAACAGATAAAGAAAATGGTCCTGCATGCCATCAACCAAGCAGTTCAAGATTTGGAAAGCTTGACATCTGTCAAGTAAATTTGAATATCACTCGTAAAGCTGTAGTACAAAGAGAGAGTAATGTGTGAATTTTCTGTAAAAGAGAGTAATGTGTGAAAAAGAGAGTATTGTTATGATTTTTTTTTCTCTGGAGATCTTTCCTTGAATCTTATAATTATACTTGTAATTGAAAGTGTTTCTAATCGTAAGAAGATTATATTTCTTAGTTATTGGTATCCAACTTTCTATCTTTTACTGTCTACTGTTTTCACCTTTTATGACAAAGGCCATTTTCACTTTGCACATTTTTTAGGTTTAGAGAACTTGAAAACAAGCATTTTTCTGATTTGTTATTTTTGAAAAACATGTGAAAGAATTATGTTTTCTGCTTTCCAGTTTTTTAGTATACAAATACAAACCTTCATTTTTCCACAAGCAATCCTACCCGTATGCACTTGACATGCGTGAAGAACAAATGATGATTTTCACATGTACTTTATAAAGATAAAAGATGAAAAAATCTACTCCGTATTATTTTGGACGACATAGATACAACATCACGATTCATGACAAGTAATAGTGCATTGTAGCATAGAATAAAACCTAATACTTACAAATATCATCTTTTATTTGTGAAATATATTATGAATTTAGTTCTTGTAATCTTTTTGTTTCAGGCGTTAATATTGTAGCAAACTATGTTAAAAGCTTTTTAAGTTAATTGAGGTTTTTTCTTAACTATGAATATAAGAGCCCGTTTGGTAGCACGAAAACCGGCTGATTTGGCTGATTCTGCTGAAGTGGCTGCATTGGATGATTCTGTTGATTTACGAAAAAATTATTTTTAAAATATATTTTATTAATAAAACAAAGAAAAATTAGGTGTAAAAATAGCTACAATGATCATGTACAGTAACTTCAGCCAATACAGCCAAAAAAGTAACTACAACCTTACTTTTTCTGGTTATTACATAATTCAGCGCGCGTAAACAAAAATTACGTGTTTGGTGAAAAAATTGGCTGATAAGCCTGATTAGCTGAAAAAGAGTGTTGTCAAACGGTCTCTAAGTTATGGGAGAAAATGTAAATGAAGATACTATAATTATACCATGACATCAAGTAGTAAAAAATGCCTAATCAATTAAATATGAAATCCCATTTGTATTCATTATCTTCATGTTAGTCATATACTTTTCATTATTTGAAGGAATCATAAATTGTGTAACATGTTGCAAATACTATTCCTTTTTATCCCAATATGTTACTCTCTCGGTTCCTTAAAACTTAATCAAGTTTGATCGATACAGAATTAATAAAGTAAAAATTGTGGTTAAAATTTGTGTAAAGAAGAAAGAATTAATTAGAACCACATATTCTATACTTAAAAAGGAAACTAAAATAATTAATGAAACAATCAAAAAAAGAAAGTTAGACAAAAAAAAATGGAACAGAAAGTTAGACAAAATTTTAAGAGACAGAGGGAGTATAGAATACAATAAAATCCCTATTGTTTTTTTTGTTATACAATCCCTATTGTCATGGGCATAGCTAGGGGGCAACCTAGGGCCCGGCCCACAGCAATTCTCAATTTTGTTTAAATTATTTATGTAAAAGAAGTCGTGCAAAAATATTACCAAAAATATTTTTTGTACCAATTTGTCCTATTATACTGCATAGCCTCTGCCACTGCCTATTGTTAATATCGTAGGAACAAGGTTAGTGTATTTATTAATGGCTAGGAGTCTGGGACTCATTTAAGGGACTACGTTTACAAAATTTAAAAACAGAAATTATATTTTAATGTACAGATTACATAATAGATGAACCAAAGTGTAATTTCCCTACATAAAGGAAAAACAAATATTTTTGTTGATCTGAAAAGATATATGATTAATTATTAAGTTCCATACGTGGTGACACTATTGCATACATGATTGTTTTTATAAAAATGCAGTACTGTTTATAGTTTTATCACATGATTACCATTTAAACATGTACAATTTGTCCGTTTCATTTTTCTTTATACACACAAACACTCGCGCAAACACCAAAGATTAATCATAATTATAATTGCTTTTCCCAAGAGAAATCAAATGATATTAAACGACGCACAATTTTATACAGGATGACGTACATCAGGGAATGCACAGTTCATTGTCCCAGAGTAATTCAATTTATTTGTAGGAATACCTTCGTGTTTTCTCATTGATGGCGTTTCACATTTACAACTTAAATTAAAATGATGCAAAAAAAATTATGCCCATTTGTCTTATGAGATGACATGCTCATATACATATAAGGCAGATAGGTACAAGCAGTGTTTATTGGGTTTTTGTATTGCATATTAACGTTCAAGGTGTTACATATTATTCTCCAATGAAATAAACAGTTGCATATTAACGTTCATAGGGTTGCATCCTAAAAATGTTTGATTTTGTTATCAAAATGTCATCGTGCATCTATAGCGTTTCGATCAACTAATCAGATGACCAAAATGGGTTTGTAGTTTGTAAATTATGAGATTTTTGTATTTTATCCTTTATACATACTCCCTCCGTAACATTTATATATTCTTACTTTCTTTTTTCGTCCGTAACATTCATACCTTCACATTTCTAAATTTTCAAATAGTACTCTCAATAATTTTAAAAATAATACCTTATTACAACTACTTTTTTGGATTTAACCTTCGTTACAACACATTATTTCATTTTCTTCACATCATACCTCGATAGTTAATATTTTTTTCATTACTCATAATCTCACCTACTTTTAAACGGGAAGATATATATGTTACGAAGGTAGTAAATTATAGTGTTCTTAAATAGATGAAACATGTTGAATTTTACACTATTCAAATGCTTTGCTTTGACATCATTTTATTTATTAATACAATAGAAATTTACTACCTCCGTCCCCCTAAATTTGGGACAAGAGAAGGTGGCACAGTTATTAATAAAAGTGGGTTTATGCGGTTGATATTGAATTGATAAAGTAAGAATAAAGTAGGAATGATTTTAGAACCACACAAACTTTACCAAATAAAGTATGAGACAATCTTAGTAGGACGGACCGAAATGGTGAAATGGGACAATCATAGCAGGACGGAGGGAGTAATATTTAAAAAATAGTGTTAAAATCCTCTAATTTTAGACTTTCACAATCTCAATTTTTAAATTTTTACTAATAAAGAATGAGATATACCAGTAGTCAAAATTGTGTGTTCGAAAGCGTGAAAATAAAAATGTTGCAACTAATTAAAAACAAACAAAGGAAGTATATTGTTTGATTCAAATAATAGCAATAAAAAACTTAATGAAGTAGAAAGGAAAGTTGACTAGTTATAAGAGACATAGATAACAGTTTTTAAGTTCATATTCATACACTTTTTTGCAGTAAAAACGCAAGGGTTACTCCACAATAGTCCTAATTTTTTTACATTAGCCTGTGAACAATTTTGATCAATAATATATTAAACTGACTTTTAATAACTAAATAAAAAAACTGTTAATAAAAAATATTCACTTCATCTTATTAAATTTTGCCAACTTTTAGAGCCGGTTTGGTAGCACAAAAATCAGCTGATTTAGCTGATCCTATTGAAATTTATGAAGTTCTGCTGTTTTAAGAAAAAATTAGTTTTAAAATATATTTTATTAATAAAATAAAGAAAAAATTGTATGTAAAAAACACTAAAATGGTTATCGAAAGTAACTTCAACCAATATAGCAAGAAAAATAACTTCAATCATACTTTTTCCGCTTGTTACACAACTCGAGTTACATGTTTGGTGAAAAATTGTTTGATAAATCTGATAAGCTGAAAAACAGTGTTGTCAAATGGGCTCTTAATTATTGTTTATCCCAGCGACTCTTTTAGTTTCCTTTGAAAATAATGAATTTGTGGTTATAACTGTTTTTGGAATCACACAATTTTAATTTTCTTAGTTATTCCCCGTCCCACTAACATTGAAAATACGAAAAGGTAACACATTTATTAAGAAAAACAAGTTTATATGATTGATATTGAATTGATAAAATAAAAATAAAGTTAGAATGATTTAGATCACACACAAAATTTGCTAAATTTGGTATACGACAATCTTAATAGGAAAAACTGAAAAGAAAAAATGGAACAATCTTAACGTTAAAAACACAAACAATATACTAACTCTGCATTTATGTATTAATATAGTTCAATGGTATATATGTTCTTCAATAGAAATTGCAATTTTCGCAATTACAATAGATTTGAATTACTTAAATTGTTCCAAGAATCAGCCTAGTCGACCAGATTAATCGGCACAAGGCGTTAGTCGACCTAATCAATGATTAATCATGCCTGAGCGCTAGACGTTCTTTCACCGCCCGATTAGCGCCTAACGAGTTCTAAAACAAGGCTTAAATGTAATTCAATTCCTTGAAGCTCAAACACAAGCTAGTCTTTGATTAAGAATAGATTGTGTTTATTGGATCAGATTATGTTTAATATGAAGTATATTTAGGAGAAGGATTGAAATACAAAAACACATGTTTTAGCAGGACTTACTTGAATGAAGGAGATCCACATAACTAGGCTTTTATTCATTGAAATCATCCTTCCCAAAAACAAGATCTAACCCCAACAAACTTATTCATAGAGCTTTGCCTATCCCATCCTCGATGAGGATCCTTTTATATTAGTACAGGCGAGCTAGGGTTAATGGAAGTTACCATATTACCCCTACGTGACTTACCATATTGCCCACACCTTCCTACGTCAGATGAGACTCCCAAAACCACGCGTAATGAATAACTGCGTTTGAAAAGATATCCTTCCGGTATAACAGGAAACTACCAACTTGGTGCGTGGGTTTCTTTCACCTTCCTCAGATTCTGTCTAAATTACCAAAAATTTTAAAGAGTTATATGGGGTATTGTGTGGTATCACCTTCACCATTCAATTGTTTAGTGGGATCCTCTACTCAACTAGAAAAACGAGTTAGGGGTCGAAAATCAACTATGTACAAAATGAAAATGGTAAATCGTTTTTAGAAAATGTTCAAGTTGAATGTTTCATTTGTAATTTAGATAAATAGACATTCATAAACAATAAGATAGATTGTCTTTGCTCTGTTTCTAAATCATGACACATAAGTAATGAGTTAAGTTATTTTTAAAATTAGGGAAACTAATCAATATTATACATCAAATTTTGTTGATTTTACATTTAGATAGTGCTGATTTTCCAGAATCATAACTTTTTACTCGTAATGAGATATGAAGACCATAATATATTAAATTGAAGATATTTCGGATCTCTATACTCTCAAACTTTCAGTGGGGTCGGCTGACCACCCTGACCCACCCTTGACTCCGCCCTTACCTCTACTAAATAAATGAATGCTGATAGTGATGTCACAATACTCCATATGACTCCATAAGGGAGTCGTATGGTGTTCCATAAATCCACTCCTAAATTACTCTCTCAAATAGATTTCATAAATGATTTTAAAAACGAATAAAAATAAGAAGGGTCTATTCTATTAAAATAAGGCTAAAGGGTCAAATAGGTACATGAACTAACTTAAAGTGTTCAATTAGCCCCTTATATAGGAGGTTCTGCTCGGCCGTCGCCAATTGGGGCGGTTCCCAGTTGAATTTTTTGATGAGATTTTTTAGCATCTTTTTCATTAAGTCTAGTTTACCCATATCAAATTTCAGCTAAAAATTAAATCCAGAAGGCAGTCAATTGATTTTCCGAAATGTACTGCGCTGTTTAACTGCGCAGTTATCTTCAAAAAATCATTTGACTGCCTTCCCGGTTGAATTTTTAGCTGAAATTTGGTATGAGTAACTAGACTTAATGAAGAAGTTGCCCAAAAAATTTCATCAAAAAATTCCACCGGGAACCGCCCCAATTGGCGACGGCCGGTCAGAACCTCCTATATAAGGGGCTAATTGAACACTTTAAGTTAGTTCATGTACCTATTTGACTCTTTAGCCTTAAAATAAAACTTATTTACACAAATATCTTTATTTTATTTTTCTACACTTGCTTTTTGAGGATTATTTTAATTTTTGTTAAACTTCCCATTTTTATAATATTTTTATTTCAAATACTCAATTACTCTTACCACTATTTATTCTTTCATCTTCTCTTTCATACTTTTTCACAACATCTCATATTTTTTCTACACTATTCACTACTTCTATTATTTTTCTCTTAATATTGTGTCATACCCTATTACGGAGTATAAGTTATACTCCATTCATCCGACTTAAGGTTCCCACGCGGTTTACGTTGTTTGAAAGATCATAAAGTTAAATAAGTTATTTTAAAACTTTTATAATAACTGATCAAGAAAATTTAAATTTGATAAAATTTGGATATATAAAGTAAAAGATTAAGAATAATTCACGTTGACCCGAGAGTAGTGGACGAGAACTTTTAAATGGGATAGGGGGAGTAAAAATTACTAAGTAATAGAATATAGAGGGAGTATTTCAAAGTATGCCTAACAAACCTATAACCGGTTTGGTTTTATATGAAATTAGTGGAACCGTTATAAAAACTTAACCAATAAAATTGATTATATTCTTATATAAATTCAAGAACCGTTATAAAAACTTAACCAATAAAATTGATTATATTCTTATATAAATTCAAGAACCAATAAACTTAACCAATAAGGGTTTGAAACTCAATGGAGTGAGTTACAACCCTGATTACTCCAGGTCCCCCCCAGCGCCCCTCCCCTAGACCCCACTTGGAGTAAAAAAATCAAGAACCGTTATGGAACCACCACGGGGAAGTGAAATATTGGGATGATTCGTTTTCTCTCTCTAGGGTTGCCGCAAGACAAGCCGCTAGTTTCGATTGTCCGCTATCGGCTTACGCCGAGGAGCGGGGCTGGTTTCCGGCTATCCGTTTTTAATTTCGGCATAGAGGATTCAGAAGGGGAGGCGACAAAGGAGGCAGGTGAAGTTTCTGGTTCAGACCGGCAGTTTCGTGGTGTTTTGACGGAAGAACCAAGGAGACGTAGCAGTGCACAGAGCGACAAAGAGCTGATCAAGGGAGAATACAGATCAGCGTTTCGTCCCCCTCCTGAACCGCCGCCTTGGATTGATCGAGAAGTCGGGGTTTGGAAGATGATTTTTCAAGAGAACAGTCAGAAAGTAGTTTGGAATATTTGTCAGTTACTCTATTTTTTATGGTCTTATTTTCGTGTTATGTTTGTTTACGGCGTTTCGTTTTTTGTTGAGGACTTTAGTTTTAGGTCTACAATAATGACTGTCAATTCTGCTAGATATTATGTCATTAAAAGGATCTATATGGCCAGTAATTGTTGTGTCACACCCGCTTGGTGGTTAGCGATTCGTATTGCTCTTTCAGGGGTGATCGTCTCAGAGTCTAGCTAGCTGAAGGGTTGATTATGATTGTTGGTTAGGGATTGTTTTTGTCAGGGTTGGTCTTTTTGAGTTTGTTGTAACGATCCTTTTCCTAATGGTTTTAATATAAAAGTTGAATTTGATGATAAAAAAAAACCGTTATGGAACCGAATCATTCCTAAATAGTTCAGTTCTCGCCTTTATCGGTTCCTAAAAGTATTTTTCCCATAAAAATAAGCAAAATTTACTTTAAACCACATGAACATCGAAAATTCGAAACACGGGGAATAAATACTTTTGAAGCTTTAATCACTTCAAACATCAAGTCCAAATTTAATTTATTAAACACCTCATATAATGATTTTTTTTATTATTTTCATTTGAAAATAAAATAGGAGAATTTTTCATTGGTGTTTGATATTATAATAGCAAAAACAGGACATCTAGTTCAAGTACCACCAAACTTACAAAAACTCATTAAATATGCATGTACAAATATAAGTATGAGTTTTTTTTATTTGAATATTACTACGTACTAAGTTAAAGCTGATTTCCAAAAATGTGAACATTTATACGAAAGGACAAAATGTGATTAAGAAGGTCATATATTTGAAAAAACGTGGTGTCATTGTGAAATTTTTATGTCACTGTCATATTTTTAATTCACTCTCATATGTCATTACTAGATTTTTATGTCACTTTTAAATGTCACTACCGGTTCTCATGCCACTTTTGAATGTCACCATCGATTTTCATGTCACTTTCGAATATCATTGCTGTCGTTAAGAGTTCAATTACGCTTCAAGGAATTTTTAAAAAACCATGTCGAATAGAATAGAGTATCTAATTCGGGCTCGAGTGGCCGTCTGAGTTCTTATCCTGTATTTCCGGCCATCAGTTTATGCTAAAAGTCAAGACCGGGGCACGTGATTATCAAGACAAACGTGCAAGTAGACAAGTAGTTACATAAGACTTAAAGATGAGGCGGGAAATTCGTACTTGAATATTGTAAGTGAAGACATTAGACAAATTCTTCGAAACTTGTAGGCGTAGGTGGGGTCCAGAATGATGGTACTTTAACACGTACTTTGTACTTTTAACAAAAAAATCATTCGGACTCTCGTATTTTAACACGAATCAAACAAATCCCCGAAGTAGGAGTTGGGTTCTCGTACCTTGTAAAAAGCACTTTTCGCACAAAAGCCGAGAAACACTATTTTAAGTAGAAGTTGTCACTTGAAAACCAAAAGCCGAGAAGCGCTTTTTTTAAGCAGTTGCAAACACTCCCTTATTGTGATACGGAGAAAGACTCGAAAGTATGTGCTAGTGTACTTGTGGGTGAGTTAAATAGAAATTTCATTACAATTTCACAACACACGACCTAAGAAATACCAATTTCAGATGATAGAACTATATAACTATACAAGTATGGAGAGTTGAATAAAAATTTACAAAAAATATATGATCATATTTACTTGGACCACATATAAAGGGAGCAAATTAATCCTAGATGGATAAAAATCACTTGATCCTGTCGATTTGAATCATTCAATTCATGTAGACTCCATACAAAGTTGTAGAAGAAGGGTTAAACGTCTGTGTTATGAAAAACTCAATTCATATACAGGCTAGATTCAAAGTTGCAGAAGAAGGATGGAACACTAGTGCTATACAAAGACATAATGAGAGATGCAAATCATCGAATGAGTGATAGAAACGATTAAAGATAGCAAGGAAGAAAATAAAGAAAATAATAATATCACATCCTTAATTATAAGAGAGAGTTTTAGGAAGGAAAGAAAGCACAATATAATGATAGGGACGAATTTAAGATGGAAAGAAGCAAGAATGACCCTTCTAACCTCACATGGATTATTACATTAATGAAAACAAGGGTTTAATGCACCAAACACCCTATGATATAGAAATTCGGGCATTAACCCCTGTGATTTAAAAAATGCATCAAACCCCGTTGTGATTTAATTAATCTTGTGCAAAATCCCTTCCATTAACAAATTTAATTTAATTATCAAATAAAAGAAAAATGATTAACATTTTTGTATGATTTAGAGATTTAGACATATTTACTTGCATATTCAATTAGAATATTACGAAAAGTGATTTTCAAATCATTAAATTTATTCATAATGGGGGTTTTGTGCATGATTAATTAAAACACAAGAGGGTTTGACGCATTTTTTAAATCACAGGGAGTTAATGCGCTGAATTTCTATATCACGAGAGAGTTTAGTGCATTAAAAAACAATGGTGAAATCCAAGGACGTTGATTCATTCTTATTTCTTTTATTATCAGATGTTATTCTCACAATCTCAACACTCTTTCTATATACATATGAATAATAAGATATACATAGTATTTCATATCACTATGGGTCATCTGGAAGGAGTCTCTTTGTACATGGATAAGACTTTTAGTACATGGATAAGACTGTACATCCGACCCCCTTACCCACCTTAGGTGAGAGTTTTTGCGGCAATGGGATAATGATGATAATGATCACGTAATATCTCATTTATAGATGAGAGAATCATACTTCTGATAATTTAAATTGATGAAGATGGGATAATTGAAGATGTAGGAAAAGTGAGATGTATTTATAAAACTTTTTTACTCCACAGCCCCTCCAATGGTCATACGAGCCCATTGGAGGAGGCTCACTTGTCCACCCAACATTGAAGAATGGAGCTAATAGAAAAAGGAAAAAACATTGCAACCGTAACCAGATTGGCAAGTCGTTGTCCCGAAAACCAAAGCCCAAAACCGGTTCTATGTTCCCGCCCCGCCCGGTCTCGGTCCCGGATCAGAACTTTAATTTCTGGTCCAGTTTGAAAACCGGTCGGTCCCTTGGCTAAAGTGTACCCACAATCCAACACCCTTTGAAATCAAAAGGTCCCATGGCTAAAGTCTATCCACCCCTCAATCCAACACCCTTTGAAAAGAAAAGGTTTACACCATAAAGTATAAACATATGCAGCCAGAAAAACATTCACACGTTATTAAAACATTGCTGTCTTAACAGCCAAAAAGAAAAATATTGATGTCTAAATACATTGTCAGTTTTTTTCAATCACGAGGCAAAACCCTAGCCCGAACTGTTATTTCCAAGGACAAGTGTTAAACTCAGATGCGGAGTATGTAAGTAGCACAGTGATAAACAGCACTCCAATCAATACGAGTGGAGATCAATAATAAGCACTGTTGCCCTTATTAGTGACTGCAAATAACCGCGATTGAAAAGCGATGGATAGATAACAGTGCAACACCTTTACTGTTAAAAATACCCTGTATTACATCTACCGACGAAATGTATGGCATATTTACCTTATAATGAGAATGAACTAAATGAAGATTACACAATATACAAATGTAGTATTTCATCTTTCCCTCTTCCTTGATCATTCTGCATCCTGAAGCAGGAAAATTGTTTTAAAGTTGGGTAAATATGTAATCTTGTGGTGTCTGCTTGATTGAGAAAAATAAGAGGGAGACACATTGATCAAGTTGGTAAAAGTATCTTTTAGAGAACTTACCGCAATATAGTTTCTGACATCAGAGGATGTTTGCATAAGTCCTCCACTAATATATGACTGGGCATTTTCTTCAATATTCTCCAGTCTGTTTTTTTCAAGTCATGTCAATTCAGAAATCTTATGAACAGAATGTTTGTAGTAATTAGACAATGTAATTTTCCAATTAAACCAATGAACAACTAATCTTCCACATGTAAAAGGTAAAAACAATGCTGGTCTTATTTAATGAAATGCAAGTGGGTTGGGTGGAGGTGTAGGAAGAAGTAGAATTAGCACCTCTTCTAAACCACGAGTGTTGATAAAAACCATTTTGGTTAAGAAAAAAAGGAAATAATTGAAAGAGATGAGTTTAGAGCGACACGAGTTTTACCTGTATATGTAATTTACCATTATACCACCACTTTGGTTGAGGCCCTTTTCAGATTTGTCAGCCATCCAATTAAGTCTTCCAACTATCTGCACCGGAAGATATCTAACATAAATTTCAAATCATGATGAAGTAACAGTAAGTTCAGCACGTGTTATTTTACATCCTTCTTGCCATTGGACGTAGTCACTTGTCAGGCATGTCATTGGAATATTAGGTTATTAGAAATTACTAATTGCACATGCACTTGTCATCCACAAACAATCTCTCTGTGCATTAGTACATGAGTAAGGTTGTGTACATCCGATCCCCCTTACCCCACTGTAGGTGGGAGCCTCTGCGGCACTAGGGTAATGATGATGATGGTGATAATGATGATGATGATGATGATGACATGTACTTGTCATAAAAAGAAATGAATTTATTAATATCTACTTATCGTACTGCCCCATTTTGCAAGTGGAAATTGGCAACAGAGTCAAGAGCCTTTCCTCTCTTCTTCTCATGGAGAAGGTACCTGCAAACCCAATAGCAAACAGATGGAACTTGGCAAATAATATTTAATGTGTGCCCCTGGGCACATGATAAGAAGCAGTTAATGGACTTCATTTTCAAGTTTGAGAAAGAATTTACAATTTTAAGGAAAAAAATAAATGTTTGAAAATAGATGCAATTATGATTACAATTCATACATTTATCACCATAATGAAGGACAATTTAAGAGAACAAAAGGCATTTAATGCTCATTATATGCTTCTTATCATTTGTCCATGGGCAAACTTTAGAAAATCCTAAGGTGACAAAAGATTTTGGGGTCGGCTAGCATGAATTGATACATGATATAGGAGGCAAAAAGAAAAGAAAGATAAGTATGATAAAAACATACGGTATGATAAAAAAGATTAAAAAAATAAGATAAAGATAAAAATGATAACCTATAAAGGATAAAAAGAATATATATATATATATATATATATATATATATATATATATATACACACACACACAATAAAAAGGATAAAGGATAAAGAACATAAGAAAGATAAATAAGATAAAAGGATAAAGAAGATGAAAAGAGATATCATCTTTTAGAAAGCGCAGTTAGAAATTCAATCGGGAAGGCATTCAAATAAATTCTTGAAGATAACTGCGCTTTTAACTGCGCTTGAAGAGATATCATCTTTTTTGTTGAAGTTAGAATGCTAAACTCTCAAACCTTCACAGTTTTCTTCAATGTACCTAACACAAAGTCGCATTAGAGGGGCTCTAAGCACAGATATCAACATTGTTGATTTAGTCCACTCATAGTCCTTTGATGTCAACATATTCCGCAGTACTTCAATACCACTTCTTCCTGTATTCAATTCCCTGAACAAATTATCATGACAACCATAATGAGAGATAGTTTTTACGGAAGAACACTATGTCACTATTAGCAACATTTCTATTCTTTAAAATTTGTTTGTCATTTCAGGAGAAAGACAAACTACCGATATTAAGTAGATGATGCCCTCTTATTGTTTCTAACCTTTAGACCCTCAAAGAGCTGGTCCATCAAATCTCATATAAAAGCTACATAATACACATTCATATTCTAATATCAACACTTTCAATTCTTCTAAATAACATATCTCAATTAGAATTATAAAAAAAGTTTGCATATAAAACTGCTTACCCAGATGCATCTAAAATGGCTTTTTCTTCATCTGGGTTAAGTAAGTTCTCTCTAAAGGTTGGGCTTGATCTCTCTGAAGAAGCCAACTTAGAGAGCAGCCATTGCATGTAACCAGGAATAGGGCTTAGTGTTGCAAAAGTCTGGTAAAAAATTGTATGCATTAGCACATGAAGAATATCACAACTGTTAACTCAGAAATCCAGCATGTAGGATTGTAGGAGGGTGCATAGAGCATATACGGCATACTTTAGCAGCAACTCAGCAGAAATAAGGTATAGTAGACACTACAAATTCTATGCTACCAACATTGCTGAGATTAATAAATGACAAAATAAAAAAAACTTACAGAGATGGTGGGCAAATCCTTCTTTACCACATCAATCACTCGCTTGATTAGAAACTTTCCAAGGTTGATTCCTGATAAACCGGACTGTAACAGACATGTGCAAATGATGTCTTGAGTGTTAATAAAATTGTTATTAAATTCCTGTATTACTTTACTGAAAGATAACGTATTGTCACTACTAGTTATACATAAATAAGGATGACAACTTCAATTTAAAGGGATTAAGATTAACTTTAGCAATACAATGTGAAGATAGATAACTGTTTATCGGTGTCTCTCATTATCTTTCTGAACTCAAACATATTGGTAAAGTTTTTCAAGAATTGGCTTTGTCAAATCTCAAACTGGCTGGCCGTATCCTTACATAGTTGCATGTAGCATAGTTCTTAAAGAATAGATATTTATGTGCACCTGAGTTGATGAAATAGAGTAAAATAGTGCACAGCTGGCATCACATTCAAGTGTTGGAGGATCATCCCATAAGACCTCCTGCAATAACTCTGCATAGTTATGAAGGGCATATTTGGGCTGAATAATAAGTTATCTATCTTAGACAAACTCCCACCTGTATCGTCTGAGCCACATCTTTCATAAGTGCCACTTCAATAAAAATAAGAGGTTCACCTGAAGATAGCCCATCATTAGAATTTACTGAAGGGGTAAATTTTCTAGGGGTGGGCAAAAATCCCGGTCCCGGTGTCCCAAACCGAAAAATCCCGATACTGTTCCGAAACTATCCCGATCCATTTAGGACACAATTTTTTCATCCCGAACCGGTCCCGCACCGATATAAACCGGGACCGGGATAGCTATAAAATATCATGTCCCGTCCCGGTGTCCCGTTTGAAATTAATATGTTATTTTAAATTTCTAATGTTATGTAATAGTGTTGTTATAGATTTAATATTTTCCAAAATAACTACTAGAAAATATATATAGAGTCTTTATAGATATGTTATTAAATTTAATGTCATATTGAAAAATTACAAGTGTACTACAAAGTATAAAAATATTTTGCACTACTATTCTACTAAAGGAAACACAAGATTAGGGGGGCCAAAAAAATTTACAAGACAAAAATTAAAAATAGTTAATTAAAGGTTTTACTTACCTTTTTAGGGAAGCTAAATTTGCAAAAATAGTTACGTCTTTATTTTGATGTTATGCTTATTTTTATATCACATTTCACAAATGCATATTTTATGGGACATCCCGAACCGTCCCGGTTTTTTTCGGGTTGTCCCGGTCCCGTTTTAAATGGGACAACATTGGGATAAAGACTTATCTCGTACCGTACCGAACCGTTGTTATAAAACCGGGATGGGATCGGGATAAGCCAAATCCCGGACCGTCCCGGACCGTGCCCGCCCCTAAAATTTTCCGACATGGTTTGATTTACTCCAAGCACCTATTGAAGATAAGATGTGGAAGTCTCGATTGCGGTGATTTGTTCATGTGCGTAGAAGATCGAGTGATGCACCTATTGGATGAGTTGAGAGGTGTAGAGAAGAGGCGGGGAGGAGAGGGGGGGAGACGCAAACAGACGTGAATTAGAGGAGTCAGGAGTGATATACATCTTCTTGAGTAGGATGAAAGTATGACTTTGGAGAAAACAAAATGGAGGGCGGAAATTCGTGTGGAGGATTGATCTCTTATCAATATTTTTATCCTTCTATATTCTTATCTTTCTTATGTTCTTTATCTTTTTATCATTTTTATTTTATATATATTCTAGTTATGCTTTTTATCTTATCATTTTTATCTTTATCCCATCTTATTTCTTCTTTTTTTTAATCTTTTTTAGCATACCTTATCTATTTATCTTTCTTTTCCTTTTTGGTTCTGATATCATGTACTCATTCATGTTAGCCGACCCCAAAATCTTTTGAGACTAAGGCTTGGATATTGGTGTTGTTGTTGTGTTTGATTTACTCCAACACAATTTTTTCATCAGTCTCAACGGTGCAAGTCTATCCAGGTAAGAAATAACCAAAACATTCTACAACTTGCTAGTGTAGTACAACTAACCAGGGATTGCTGGATGAAAATAACCAAAGCAACGACGACCTACTCCTAGCCTTCTTTTGAGATCTATAAGATTGCTTATAGGATGTACAGCCTGTTGACATGAAATTTTATAAATTTCTCTATAGCATAAAATAATATCATTATATCAGTGATCAAAAAGTGAAATAAAAAGGACCTCATATGCTACAATCTTTTCCAACAAAGAAGCAGGATCATCCCATGTTATATTGTGGAGCTCTAGATTAGCCGGGCTCAGCCAAGTAACCAGTTTCTCTTTCAAGAAGGAGTCTAATGCTCTCAGTGACAGCGCATTTTCGCCCCTGTAAATCAGTGATTTCATTAATCACAAAATTGTTTCCTCCATGAGTACGTTGCAGTTCATAGAGACAAACTCTCCGGGTCCATTAGGAACCTAGAAAGTACTAGAGAAAGTAGGACTAAAATCGAGAGGATATTTGAGTGAGTATGGGGAAAAAATGGTTCAAACTCAATAAATCAATTTTATTAATATATTCTATTACTTTAATACTTACAAGAATCTAAGTACTTGTTAAATTCACAAAAAAATAATTGATTTTTTTAATTGGCATAGTAAAACCAAACATAAAAAAGTTTTCCTTATATGTTCCCTTTCCCTGCCATTTCCATGTTCCAAACATTGCCTTCATGCTTATCATGAATTCAACTCGTGGTTGCCACTTGACACATTCTTTAGCTCAAAGGACGGAAGGAACAAAATTGCTCAATGTGTGAAATAACCTTACGCGAGAATCAAAATAATATCAGCGCGCATATCAGACAGGAACTTCAGTCCTCCAGGATGTGTATTTAGGCGCTCAAAGAGGACCTCATACATTGGCTTCAAAGCATGTCTCAGATTCCGCTCTATTCTGTAGAATGCAGACACTGATCCTTCCTCTTCATGCCCGCAGTCTTTAGCCTTATCTGCCAAAGCTTCATATTTTAAAGCCTAACTACAGAGTAAAAAACATTTAAACCAACAACTTCTCAAGTAAGTAATTCTTGAGCACACCACTGGGAAGCTGAAGATCAAGATACTGTTTCATCATTTCACGAACCTGAGCCCGGTTGAGATCGTAATCTCGGGCTAGTGCAAGAAGTAAATCCCGACGGTGTTCATGGGAAAGGCCAACATAACCCTAGATAAAAAATAAATAAATAAAAAACAAGACATATTCAATAAGCTTACAGCTATTAAAAACGTCAGTGATGCAATAAGAATCAACCCACTTACCCACCTCAGAAAACCCATCTAGAGCAGCATCTAAAATTTCTGTCTTGTTCATTGATATTGCAGAGTGCATCCAATCCCTTACCTGAACAGAGTGCCTGAAACCAACACATAATCAATTCACCGTCAACTTAAAGTCACAATTCCCAAGAACATTTAAAAATGGCGATTCACATCAATCTTTAAGGCCCAATTTAACTTTCATCTGTAACACACGAATCGGATACAATTTTAACAACAAGAAAGAAAAAGTATTGACCTTTCCGGATCGGAGGACTCAGTCGGAGCAGAAATTTGGGTGCTTTCTCGGGGGGATGTCTCCATTTTGCGCACTTTGTTCTGTTTTGCATCCGATCACAACATATGAGCCATATTCCATAAAGAAAATGGAAAACCTTAAAGTGCAAAAATACATACATGATGCAGCATAACTGCACAGTTGTTCCGTATACAACAAAGGCATAAGGCATATATACTGTATATTTTAAGCATATTAGATTATTATTAGCAATACGCCAATACTCACAGAAGAAGGTGACTGAGGGCGCACTTTAGTTCGCAAAAGAATTGCGAGACCTTTCTTGTTCATTTTACAGCTCAAAGGAGCCACTGATCTATGCTTTGTCTAACATCTCCTTTCCCCTTTTGCCTGCTTGTACACAAATTGGGACAGTATATTCGGTTTGGCAAGTACCTGATCGTACACGTGTACCTGATTAGTAGGGTACTAGAGTGGGCATATGAGGTTTGGTTTAACAGAACTCCTACCAATGCAATTTGAGACCGTATGCAATTTGATTTGAGTTTGATGGTATTTCTTTAAACGGTATTAAACTGAACTGAAATCAATAAAAATGAACAAAACTGTAACGAACTAAGGCAATTCAAAAAAACATTCATATAATATTAAAAAATAAAACATCCAAATCAAACCAAACCGAAAAATAGTACGCAATATGATTTTTGGTTGGTGATAATTCTTCCAAGTCGTTCCAAACCGAACCCAAACAGATAAAAACTGAACCGAAAATCGATATGCTCACCACTACTAATTACGTAGTACGGAGTACTACTTATTCAGTTTCCAGTGCAAAAATGACACATTTCCTTAGACAATACTTCGTACAATTCAATTATACTTTGAAAAATTGTTTAGATAGATGTAATATAATGAGTTCGTTGATAATAGTGATATTATAAATGTAATATCTTTAATATTTGGTGACTAAATTACTACATATCATTTAAGATTGATAATTATTTCTTAAACTAGAAATAGGAACTTTTAGCATACCATATTGATAAAAGAAAAATGAGAAGAAAATAAAAGGAGTGTATACCACATTGATAAAAATACCGAGTAATATACAAACATAAACAAATAATGGAGTAATGAGTAGTAATAAGGCTAGGTACTTTCACTTTGTGAGGAAGTCTCACATTTTTAGACATTTTTATCAACACACGAGATTACATTTTTGTAACATTAACACAATTTTTCTCTTCTGAAACACAATCTACATGATGTTTAAATAATCAATTTTTGTAATATCACTTACATTTAGGAGGGTGTCTCCAACATTGATTCTTGCTAATTTAAAAATAATTCAGAGTTCCATCGTTATTTTTGGTGTCCCCGATTTGTAATTTCATGTAATTCTCAAACATTTCATGAATTTTGATTATTATTTATTTGGATATATTTTAAATAACTTTGGTTGGATTATACACACGGATGATTTAAGAGGTTTTTGCCTTCGATTCCTTTGTTTTCAAAATGCCAATGCATCACCATTACAGGTAGGTCCAATCACGATTAACCATATTTTCACATCAGAGGGCAGGACTTCAGGACTTTTGAAGGAGGTTGGGAATAGAAAAAACAAAAACAAAACAATAAAAAAAGAGGGCAGGACTTCAGGACATCACCAGGCCATACATTTTTCATATTGCCGGCTCCGGGTAATGATTAATCCGAAGAATTCCATAAGAGTTATAAATTTTGTAGAATTCCATAAGAGTTATAAATTTTGTAGAATTCCATTAAACTAAATTATAAAAAAAAAATAGAGCTAAAGGTCATTAAAATTCCAGTACTTTCATCATATTCAAATTCATATAATTCCATAAGAGTTATAAATTTTGTAGAATTCCATTAAACTTCATAAAATTCACAATCTTTAAAAATTCATTAAAATCATTGTTGGGGACAGCCCTTAGATCTCTTATGCAATGTTGCCTGCCTCTCAAGTCTCAACCTAGTAAAACATTTTTGGTTGAGGAGAAATTCATATTCGACACCAGTGAACCAAAGGAAGTTAATGTGAAATGAGAAAAGTCATAAAAACTAGATGAAGAAATAGAGAGTGAAAAGGGAATGGTGGATAATAACTACTCATTATATTTTAAGCTTTTAACACCATTTCTTACAAACCTGTATATGTGCCAGATGTATTCATATATACATAAAGGCTTCTAGTTTTCATATATCCACCATGGAGAATAGTGCAAAACAGATGGTGATGCAAAGGGCGGGTTTATCGCAGAGGGTTTGGCCTCTCCTTCAAAGCTGCCTCGGATAGATTCAACCATGTTATCTTCTAAGCGAAAAGATGTTTCGTAACCTTTTACCATGCATCAGCTGGAGTGGAGCAGCCAGAACAGGCAGAGTTGTGACCATTGCAACATAGGCAAGAATCCAAACCGAAACACTCCTCCGCCTTGATACCTGATTTAAGCATTTCCCAACCGGAACCACCTTTTATAGTGTCATTTTCATTGGGTTCAGCAAACTTGGCATTGATACTCAGTACTCACACATTTGCTTCTTCTGGTGGCATAATTTTGTCATCACACTGTAAATAGTTCACACTGTTCTCTGAACAAGTGCTCAGGTCAGCTGCCCTCCTACATCATTTCCTGGTGGCGGCTCATCAGCAACTGCACTCACCATCTATCAAGCTCACAAAAGGAGCTTGATCAATTGAAGATTCAATTAGGCTAGTCTATGCAGTGGCATCTTGTGTGCCAACAAATATCAATTAATCATCAATGACAGTTTATTAGATGGCAATTTAAAGGACAGCTGAAGCATGATAGTCATGATAGCATTCAAATGTTCATAGGCCAAACAAGGCCACATACAAGCCTACATTTAACACACTAAAATATTATTGAAAATAACAAATGTATCAAATGAAACAACACTCTTAGATAGATTTGGATACCTCTTTCTTTGATAAAAGGACTAGAGTACAAATCTCCAAAGTACTCATCAACTGCCCTTACCCACCTGTCAATTAGTTTCAATAAAACATGAAAATAAGAAGAATGGCCAACCCGCTTATGGAGTAAAGAAACGAAGACAATATACGATTGGCGACGTGCCCTAACATGTTACTTTTTTAGAACAGCAGATACCTCATGTATTTATTATGCACTATTATTATTATTTAATATTATGCACATATAAATAAGCATATTGATATTCCAAAAAAAGATAAATAAGCATCGAGTGAACTAATAAACTATCAATAGAATTTTTTACAGTAGTTTGTCATTTAAACATTAATATGTTCAAAATTTATAAACGAGAAAATTGTTATGGTTTATTGGTTAACCGTTAGTGGGTGCCGGTTAACCAATATTATGGTACGGGTAACGGTATATAAAATTTAGTAACTGTTAACCCGGTTTTCAAATTTTCACCTGTGTGGGAAAATTTTTAGGGACGGAGTATAAACCAAGTACATCAAAGTTTTGGTTAATGGTAAACAAAAGTACAAAATAGAGTAAAGAATCCATCAAAGAATGTATACATTTCACGTTATTTTTTAAAATGATAAAAATACAAAACTAAATATACGCACGAAATGAAAATATTCATTAATTTGGGGAGTCCACATACTTTTGTGTCATACTCATGTGTTTGTATTGCTAAAAGGTTAGCAATCCTTATTACTAATTACGAGTGATAAAAAGCGAAGTGAATAGTTTAAAATATCCAAAAAATAATTCTTTGAGATGTTCATTCTCATCTAAAATAGGATAGAAAAGAATGCTGAAGATACTCCTGATGTCATTCTTAAAATATTGACCAAATATCAAGATATTTTTGAGGAACCCAAGCAACTTCCTCCTCACGGGAAGTTAGATATAACAAATTCATCTCTATAAATGTTAGGCTTTACAAGTATCCAAGCTCCACAAGTCACTCGCAGAAAAAAACACCGTGGGAATGTTGATGAACGCTATCCTTATAAATGTTAGGCCTTACAAGTATCCAAGCTCCACAAGTGAATGTTAATGAACAATATCCTTAGGGATAGTACATCAATTACGGTCCTAGTTCCTCTCAAAGACAAATTTCATATCCCTGCGACAAATGGGTTGATGGGTGAATTAAAGGGTTATCAGTTTTTTTTTTCAAAATTTGACTTGATATGATGGTACTGTCATATTAGAATGAAAGAAAAAACATTGAAAAAACAACATTCAGAATCCATAAAGGAATGCTAAAGTTTCATTTAGCTATAACTGATTTTATTATTTTAGTTGATTGTTTAAGCTATTTTTCGTAAACCAAAACTAATAAATAAAATATGTATTGAATGAGTTTCGTACAAGAAGAATAAAATTGAGAAATATGTAGATAAGCTAAAAATTGTGAACATAATTCATTGTATTTTTCTAGTAAGGATGAATCTTGTTTACAATGGGATAACTTCTATTTATATGAGAAGTAATTAATGCTCTCATGAACATTTCGTCCTTTTGTTAACGGTTTCAGAGTGGGTCGGCCTTGACCGGGGGCATCAGCCCACTTGAACATGGCCCATAACTTTTGAGGGCCCAAAAACTATCTTCAATACCTAGTACTAGTACTCCCTCCGTAACATTCATATCTTCCCACTTTCCTTTTTTGGACGTAACATTTATATCTTCTTATTTCTAAATCTTCCCATCATACCCTCAATAATTTAAAAAATAATACACTACTACACCTACTTTTTTTGGATTTATCCTTCATTCCATCACATTATTTCACCATCTTCCCATCATACCCTCAATAATTCATACTCTATTTCACTATTCTTAATCTCACCCACTTTAGAAGTGGGAAGATATATCTGATACGGAGGGAGTATTACATAATTGTCAAGCTCAAGACTAAGAAATAGAAAGATAGAAGGAAAGAAGGGAAGAGAACTAGAGAAGAATTCGATGGACCGACAACTTCAAGTAGATGACCAATTGGAGAGGGATTCGATAGACTGCCACGGTTGATGACACATATATTTGTCCTTCGTCGTCTATCGCGGCCCGCCTCCAGAACCAGGAGGCGCCTAGTCCAGCCAACCCAGACGTTCGAGAGGGTCGTCCACTGTCTCACGCGGCTCACTGGACTCACCGCCAGGGCCGGCCCGAATATATTAAGGGCCCTATTCAAAATTTAATTGGAGGCCCTAAAACATACTCCCTCCGTCCTGAAAAGGTTTGATAAAGTGATTTTTCCTGGTTAATGTCAATCAACTTTGACCAATGATATATTTTAATATTAAATTATTTAGAATATGAAAATTATATCAAAATGTTCCTTGTTCAGAATATTGTCACAAAAATTTAAATTTATAAATTATAAATTATATTGTCCAAAGTTTGTCATAATTCTTTTAAAAAAAGTTTTTATCATTAACTAAGAAAAATAAATA